GCCAGCCAAGAGCTGAGCAAGAAGCATTTGTTCCCTCTCTGACCCCTCTCCCACAGACAGTGCCACAACACAGCAACATGGGTTGCCCCATCCTGGTGAATACCTAAGGCTCTGCCCCTTACAATGTCACAGGTGTGCCGAGAAAAAAAATATATGGCCCAAATAAAAGAACAGATCAAAGCTCCCAAAACAGAACTAAGTGATGAAGAGATAGCCAACCTATCAGATACAGAGTTCAAAACACTGCTGATCAGGACACTCAGGGAATTGGTTGAGTATGGTCACACAGAAAAAGAGGAAAATTGAAGGCTGTGCAAAGTGAAATAAGGAAAACTATACAGAGAACCAACAGTGAAGGGAAGGAAACCAGGACTCAAATCAATGATTTGGACCAGAAGGAAGAAATAAACATTCAACCAGAACAGAATGAAGAAACAAGAATTCAAAAAATGAGGAGAGGCTTAGGAACCTCCAGGACAACTTTAAATGTTCCAACATCCAAATCATAGGGGTACCAGAAGGAAATGAAGAAGAGCAAGAAATTGAAAGGTTATGTAAAAAAAAAAAACAAAGAAAGAGAACTTCCCCAGTCTGGCAAAGGAAATAGACTTTCAGGAGGTCCAGGAAGCTGAGAGTCCCAAGGAAGCACCCACCAAGGCACATCATAATTAAGTTACCCAAGATTAAGGATAAGGAGAGAATCTTAAAAGCAGCAAGAGAAAAGGAGACAGTTACCTACAAAGGAATGCCCACAAGGCTATCAGCTGATTTCTCAAAAGAAACCTTGCAGGCAAGAAGAGGCTGGAAAGAAGTATTTGAAGTCATGAAAGATAAGGACCTACATCCAAGATCCTTGTAAAACTATCCAGCACAGCTATCACTTAGAACGGAAGGGCAGATAAAGTGCTTCCCAGGTAAGGTCAAATTCAAGGAGTTCATCATCACCAAGCCCTTAATACATGAAATGTTAAGGGGACTTATCTAAGAAAAAGAAGATGACCAAAAATATGAACAGTAAAATGACAACAAACTCACAACTATCAACAACTGAACCTCAAACAAAACAAAAACGAACTAAGCAAACAACTGGAACAGGAACAGAACCACAGAAATGGAGATCACATGGAGGATTATCAGTGGGGAGGAGGAGGGGAGAGAATGGTAGAAAAGGTCCAGGGGGTAAGAAGCATAAATGGCTGGTACAAAATAGACAGGGGGAGGTTAAGAATAGTGGGAAATGGAGAAGCCAGAGAACTTATATGTACGACCTGTGGACATGAAGTAAGGGGTGGGGGAACACTAGTGGGGGGCAATGTACAGGGCAGAGGAGAATAAAGGGGAGAAAGAAATGGGATAACTGTAATAGCATAATCAATAAAATATACTTAAAAAAGAAGAAATAACCACATTTATAACAAATTATTTTCTTCTTTTTCTTCAATGAGTATTTTCGTATTTTATACCTTTCATTACTAGCCATACTTTTTCTTTCCAACCTAATTAGAATTCTTTAAATTGATACTTTTATGAATACATTTTATAACATCTAGAAACAGGTTTTTTCCATCAGCAAACACATTTTTATTTTCAAGAGACATACTTCAACTAAAGTATAAGATATATTCATTAACAAATCCAACTTCTCTTTCTAGCTTCTCAGCAATAATAAGCCAAAATAGGCAAAGTTAGATCAGTTAATATTTCTGTTATTTCAAAATATTTAGATATTTAATATTTTTCATCATTCAATCCAGCAAAAGTCTAAAGTTTTAGGCCACCTAAGACTTGGAAATTATGTTTTGATATATTTATAATTATTACTGAAAATCTTTATCAAAAGTCCTTCATTTTAGTTATACCTATTCATTAGTTCTTAACAACTTTCTGAGATTGTAAAGTCAATTATTATTCAAGCCATTTTCCTGACAAATTTGTAATGGAGATAAGTAACATGAACTTATATCTGAAAACCAGGCAAATAAACATATATTTTCTTAATAACTTTAAAATATATCAATTAAGTTTTAACCAACTTTAATAGCCAATATTTTTCCAGACCACATGATCCTAAAAATAATATTTTTATAGTAATATTTGTGATAGTTCTTATATTTTTTACCATACACATAAAGAGTATTATTTGTAATTGTAGACAAAACGAGATGTTCTTCTTCCTTTTTTTCTTTTTTTTTGGTCCTTCACAAATTTCAGGAGGCTGGAGAAGAGAGAGAGTCAATTCAGGCTTAGCTGGCTTTAGCAGTTTTAAAATGTCTAGTTTTTTTTTCCCTTTGCACTGTGGTGGGGCAGTCACCCCTGTTGTTTCCACAGGATTGGGGGATGGCATTAATTCCCCATTGTTCCCAGGACCACCACTGATGTGAACTCCAGGCAGCAGTGTCCATGTGATGTGGATGCGATGAACAAATTCACATGGACTGCAGAGTCCTGTGGAGAAAAACGGATGGCATGGCCACTCTCTGAGAGAGCGTGTTTCGACCCTTGCCTGGACAGGCTTTTATTGCTTTCTAGTAACATTAAATCAAAGAAGGTTCTCATTCATTATACTTAGGCTTACTTTAAATGATTACTCCTTCCAGATAACAAAGAAAAAATGTTGCAAATGCAAGGGAACTATAAAAGTTATTGATCTGGTTATATTCTATCCTTGGGACAGCTTAGCACAGACTTTAGGGAGTTGCTTCAAAGATACATATTAAACATCTTGAGTCTTAACTCAGGGCGAGGGAGTTTTAGCAAAAGCAAGCCTTAAAGCAGCCTAGGCACAATGCCAGCCTGGTTCCCCATGGGAAAACCCATCTGTATGCCTGGATCCTGTGTGCTACCTCGCACCCAATGGTTTTCCGGTTCTGGGCTGGGCTATATTCACCACTGCCATGCTGACCAGTTTCCCATACACCACAGCTCCCATGACTCCAGGAGAAGGACTCATAATGTTTAAAAGACCTATCTCCTCATTTTTGTTCTTTCTGAGTTTATAGTCTAGGAGGGTTCTGAGCTCTTTTAACCATCAATTTCAATCCTTTGTACGCACAATCCTTATGGTGTAACAACATGAAAGCTTACACATAAGAGATCTTATCCCATTTACCAGAATTTTGGCAAAACAATTCTAATTGGTCATCCACTTACAGCTGTAAATTGCGCAGTCAGCTAAAATCCGATCTAATGAATTTTCTGATGGAATTGAGACTGAGCAGCCCGTTTTAAAACAGAAACAAAAACAACATCTAACGCTAAGACAAACCTCAAACAAATGCGTACTCCCCAATTAATTCCTCTAAAAGGAGGGACTGGGACATTAGTGCAAATGATGTTTACAAGCTTTAAATAATACAACAACCAGATGACAAAGACAGAGGATTCCTTGTGTGAACAAAACAGCAAAGGGCAAGCCAAGACCTTAAAAGATAAGACAGCAAGCAAAGAACAGCCATAACCAAAGTTTCACTTCAGACAGACAAGAGCCCTCACAGACCTCTCAAACAGGACAGACGAGAGCTTTCAAATGGAACAAATAATCAAAACCCCCAAATCCATAAACCACAACACTAAAAACATGCTCCAAATTGCACACCAGGGAACTGGGATTTTTCTGAGTCATCAAGCATTGCCTACTGCTATGTGACACCTATTAATTCCTGCACCATCCCAGACAGTTCAAAGAACCCAAGTGGTGGGGCTGAGGGCTCCTGGTTGTGCACGTGAGGGACTTTACCCAGTTTGGGCTTGTCAACCCACCAGGAACCTGTTTCCTTTCACCAGCAAAAAATTTAAAGGTAGCTGAGTTGCTGAGATAAATAACTCTTGGCAGCTGCTGGGAAATTCCTGCAACCCTTGCCTCCCACAAGCAGCTAGGACCCCTGCCGGGGCCATCTGGACCTTACTAAGGTCCACATTGTTCTGGCTGTGTTGCCAAAAACTGTAACCAATACAAGTCTAGCTGCCTGCTGCTTCTAAAGCCAATACTTTAGAGGCAAACGGTGATGTAAAGGAAAGTGGTTTGATTCAGGTGCCAGCAACCCGGAAGATGGGGGACTCTTGTCTCGAAGGCCATCTTACCATCTCAGGTATCCAGGCTAGTTTATATAATAGGGGGACCACGGGAAAAAGGGATTAAGGAATTTCTGGTGATGTGCATTTTCTCAGCTCTACTCTTGTGTGGTGTCAATGTTATCTCCTGCGTGTGACATCAGGTAGTTTCATTGCTCTGTCCACAATTTCTCTGCTGATTACCTGCGAGGAAGACACACGGGCAGCATTTCTGCTTGTTCTGATGTGACTGACTCCCTGATGCTTTCCCAATGTCTTGTGGTCAGGGTTATTCCTCGGTTAAGCAAGAACTGCAAATGCTGATGTCTATAAAATACTTATAAGGAAACTTTTAATACATGAATCATTTATGAGTTTGTTAGTACAACCTACTCTCATCTTCTGTTATTTTTATGGTCTGTACCTATCTGGCACACATTTTATACACATTTTCTTTTCAAGCAATGTTCTATATCCCCAATTACAGTTTAAATCCCTTAAATTCAGGAATCTGTTTTTTATTGGTTTTTATTTCCAATACCTAATCTAATAGTAGAAGCTCTCAATAAAAATTTATTCGTTTCTAAAAATGGTTAGATTTTTAGTATTGATCTAATACATGATAAAAGGGCTGGGTCTTCCTTTAAACCTAATTTAGATGCTAATTGAATTAAGTTGGTAAGATTTGAGAGTAATGTTTCCATCAAATTAAACCCTACTACATGTTTACCTTTATATATTTGTATATACATTTACTAGAATATATGTAGAACCATGATTACATCTGTATGCTATGCTGATGTGCTACAGCTCATTTCCAAAGGCAAATATTACAGTGCATTTTGGACACCTGTGTTCTCAAGATCAGTTCTTTGAAACTATATTTGGATGTATGAGCTATTAAAAGCTTCTTGTACTGAGTGACCTTTCAGGCAGAATTTAGATTGAATACTTGTGCTGGTGCTGCCTGTTGCTGAGTGGAAGACAGCAGAAAACCCTGGATTCAAACCTCTGTTGGGCTTTTGTTTTGCTTTTGTTTCCTTTCATTTTGTCTTAAGAAGATGAACAATGGAACCACGACCCTGATATCCTTGAGGAAGGCGATGAAAAGGTTGCTAAGGGCTACTGGGTGGGGAGCAAACATAGGTCTGCTTTTCGGGAAGATGGATTAGAGAAGTATCAGGAATAAAAACAGAGAAAGAACTACAAAAATGCTAATTAGAATTCTATCTTTGTTAAACTGGTTTAAACCTTGCCCTGGCCAGATAGCTCAATTAGTTAGAGCATTGTCCAGGTACACCAAGATTGTGTGTTTGATCCTCGGTCAGGGCACATACAAAAATCAAGCAATGAATGCATAAATAAGTGGAACAACAAATTGATGTTTCTCTTTCTTTCTCCTTCTCTCTATAAAAGAAAGAAAGGTAGATAAAGTGGTTTAAATCTTCTAGGTAAAAAAGATACGTAAATTACTAATGACATAGTTAATGATGTCATTAACTGAGCTGGGGAACTGTGGTAGAAAACCGACTCAGACTTGCAGACATGTTCTTTAGGATTTATTTGGAATGGTCTGGGAATGGCTTCTGGTGAGAGGACTCCAAAGAACTGCTGTAGTTATAAGCTTTTATACTGATTGAAAAGCTAGAGCTCCTCTCTACAGTTCAAGCTAGAGATAACCTATGGTCTAAAAGTTAATACAAACAGTATGCCAGAAAAACATTTTTGATATGTACGCAGAGATTGCCAGCATATTAGGTCATGCAGGCTTATGCTCCTACAAAAAAGCACATTTCATACTGAGACTTATCTATATGTAAATAGCAGTGAGAACACTCTACCATTATCATTTTAGGGGTAGTGAGTAGGTTCAATTTAGGACAGTTTAGTTTAACATCCCATTCAGGTGGAAATGTACAAAACATGGTTGAAGATACACGTCTACAGCTTAGGAGAGAGGAGGTACTTGCAGCCGAATTAGCCTTGGAAGACAGGTCAAACTTAGAACCTGAGCAACCACAATAGTATTCAGGTCACCGGGGACATAGAAGCTCAGGGAAGTAGGTATGTGTCTGTGTATCATTTCCTTCATGAAAGACAATGTGGGTGGCTTCAGGAGTTTCTCTGTGGTTCAGTTACACATAATTCCAGTGCCACCCATGCCCCCTGGTGATCAGGGCCGTGTAGAGCTACTCAAATCGCCTTTGGTTACTCAGTTCATCTCACTCACATTGCAGATTTCAGTAGTATGAGACATATTTTATTACTCCTGTGTAAGTCCTCTGCTAGGTGTTTATACCTCTGCCAGGTATAAAGATACCCAAGAAACAGTCTCTACAGTCTCCAAGAGCTTACAATTCTGTTCAAGGAAAGCTAACTCTAAAAATAAAGCAGGAGTTGGGAAGTGACAGGTCATAGAGGTAGTCTTTCTGAGAATGAACTAAGCAGAGTGGAGATCTTTAGGTAGAAAGGCTGGGAGCAGGGGGTGGGACGTTAAGCAATCAGTGGAATTTGAGATTATCCTTAAAGGAAGGCTAGGATTTGAATAGTCAGAATCGGGTGGAGAAAGCATTCTTACTAAATACTGGTTCCTGCACTAGCTAAACTATATGACCTTAGGTCTCAATCTCTTTGATACCCAATATCTTTACACATAAAATAGTAAAAATGGCTGTGTCACCTCTTATGGTTGTTGGGCGACTCAAAGTGGTGCTTGTATATATAACTTTGTAAAGTTAAAAGTACAATATGTAGACAAATTCATCATGTCAGATGAGTTCAAGTAGACAATTCAAAAAATTTGGCAATATAAGAACAGCATGGATGGAACTGGAGAGTATTATGCTAAGTGAAACAAGCCAGGTGGTGAAAGACAAACACCATATGATCTCTCCTATACGTGGAACCTAATTAATAGAATAAACAAGTGAGCAAAATAGAACCAGAGACATTGAAATAAAGAACAAACTGACAGAAACAGAGGGATGGGGGAGGGGGATGGTAGGGGAAATAAGAGGAAAGAGTTGGGGAGCATGTATAAAGAACCCACGGACAAAGACAATGAAGGGGGAGGGGAGATTGAATGTGGGAGGTGGGGGTGGGTAAAATGGGAGAGTAATGGGGGATAAATGGGGACAACTATAAGTGAACAACAATAAAAAAATTTTAAGGATAAAATATGATTAAAAAAGGAATGCAAGAACTAGGATGATGGGTAGAGAGAACGGCAAGTAGCTACCCAAATTGTATGTTTATAACATAGTCTCATTTTAGGCATCATCTGAATTTTGTCTCTGACCTAAACTATCCCTTGATTCTTTTATCCTGTAGATTAGACCACAAACTCCAAGCTTTAAAAGCACAGTTTAAACAACTAGATTTCACCAAGGATAACCTGACACAAAAATTTGAACATCATAGCAAGATGCTGGCAAGCCAGGCAGCCCAAGATGAGCTATGGACAGCAGTTCTGGCGCTCAAGTGAGTATCCAATGAGAAATCAGTGGGATTCTGTGGCATTGCGAGAGCTTACAATGGTCATTCTAAAATTGAATTTATTATGGTTCCAGCAATGGACTGTGAAGAGATCACATATTCTTAGGTTCATTCACTCAAAAAAGATTAATCTGAGCACCTGTTTATATGCCAGGCACTGTGGCACGCATTTCACCATCATCTCTCGCTTGCCAAAGTCTCTCACAGAGATGGATAATATAACTCCTCTGCAATTGAGAAACTTGTAATTCTCTGTGTGGCCAGAGAATTAAGGCACCCAGTTTAGCACAGGTCTTGTTTCTAAAGTATTTTCTAAAATACAATAGCTGAATCTCCTAGTGGATTTGTACTTCTCTGACTTATCCTAATAGAATTAACTTTATAGTTGAACATAAAGTATTCTGCTGCTTTAGAAGCTTTTCCATTTTTTGCAGGTTCACTTCAATGGAATTGAATATTGTATATAGCTATGTCATTGAAGTTCTCATCTGCTTGCACACTCATGTACTTGAGAAGCTGCCAGACCTGGTGAGAGGTCTTCCTACTTTAGCCTCTGTCCTTCGACGAAAAGTCAAGAACAAGTACATCAGAGATGCGTGGGAGTCTGTCCTGGAGGAGTGTGGGCTGCAAGAAGGTGATATCACAGCACTTTGTACCTTCTTTATTGCACATGGTAGCAAGGCAGAACACTACAGCGCCAAAGTGAGACAGATGTACATTAGGGATGTCACTTTCATGATCACCAACATGGTAAAGAACCAGGCTCTGCAAGGCAGTTTGCTGAGAGCCGTTCAGCTCATTGAGAAGGGGAAAGCAGTGAAAGCCTCTGAAGAACAAAAGTCATCCCTGAAAGAGTTGATACCAACAGTCAAAAACTAACTTCTTACCTTATGACCTAGCTATTCTACCATCTTTTTTGGACCATAAGACACACCTAAGTTTTAGAGAAGGAAAATAGGAAAAAAAAATTTGAAGCAAAAAATGTAGTAAAATATTTAATAACATAAATAACATAATATTTCACCAATGTAAATATAAAGCCACATTTGGACTATAAAACACACCCCCATTTTTCTCCCAAATTTTGGGAAAAGGTGCATCTTACAGTCTGAAAAATATGGTACTTCCAGTAATTTATCTTGCAAATGGGGAAAAATATGTACATACAATTTTGTTATGGACTTATTTTTATAGCAAAAGTTGGGGAACTATTAGAGAAATTATGATAAACTGATAAGTGCAAGAACTTATCAGTTTATCTTTCTGTGTAGCCATATTAAAAATGAAGAATCTCTGTTTTAATTGCATAATGAATGATGTGGAGTTATCATAAAGATGTGCTGTTTTAAAATATATATTTTCAATATGTATTGTTAAATGTAAAAAGGAACAAACACAAATACATATATACACATATGTAAGCCAATATATCCATAAACTTCTTCTGGAGAAATACATAAGAATGTGATAACATTGGTTGTCTTAGGGAAGAAAACTAAGAAGCTAAAGGGGTCAAAGGTAGGAGGAAGTCTTTTTACTGTAGTCCATGTGTGCATTTTGAATTATGAACGATGTGAATATATTATCTATTAAAAGACAAAACAATAATAATTACCCAATATATATTGCATGTGTTGTAGTTTCTCTCTAGTACAGTAACACAGTTATTTATACTAGAAAGGGAATGCACACACATTGACTATATCTTTACAATATTTATTGAACACCAAATGCCATATGCTAAGTGCTGTAAGCTAAATGCTGAGCTTTTGTTTGGGAGGTACAAATTCAGAACAGCAAGAATGAGGTGACACTCTGGAAGGATGTCAGGGAGAAAAGAATAAGAAGTCATAAAAGGTGATATGTTACCTTGCTGGCCTCTCACTGAAAATGAGCCACAAGAAACATAGCAAGTTTCTTGGCCAATACATCCCTTCAATCTGGTCTTTCTTCCGACTGTTTGAAGAAACCATGCCTTAGAAAAAAGAAGAAAATTTCTCCGTTGTGCTTGTTCAGTCCACTGTTTTCAATTGGCCAGTTTTCTCCATGGGGAATGACAACCCATACTTCCAAGATGCAGCATTTAAGCCCTCGCAGCAGCCACTGGAAAGTCGGAGCCTGCACTGTTCACTGCAGGGTTTCCCAGGAGTCTAAAAGTGGCAAGAGGAGATAGAGATTCCAGGAATGCAACTGGCTAGCCCCAGGCAGACCAAGGGACAATGGGTCCAGAAAGTAATCAAGGCCAAGGAAATCTGAGGAAGCATATAAAATGTATCCATTACCGAAGATTTTAAAAAATAGAATCAAAATGCAAACTTAGTCCTGGCAGGTGTGGCTAAGCTGGTTGGAGCGTCATCCCATAACTGGAAGGTTGCAGGTTCAGTCCCAGGTCTGGGCACATTATGATCCCAGTCCAGGCAGCAAGTGGTCTCTGGTCTGGGTGTGTTGGGGAGGGAACCAGTTGATGCTTCTCTCTTGCATCAGTGTTTCTCTCCTTCCCTTTCTCTCTCTCTAAAAAGCAATTAAAAATGTCATTGGGTGAGGATAAAAAAGTTTTTTCAATACAAAAATTAAGTAAGTTTATGATCAAAACTACTATCACTAAGGGATATATGATTTGGGTGAGTTCAGAGGAGGGGTATAACTGTGATGGAGAAATACTTCCTTAAAAAGTGTACTGAGTTGATCCTTGAAGCAGGCAAGCCACAAAATGCTCATTTAGGATGGATTGAGAAAGCAATGACCTGAAAGCATAAAATGACAGCAAATAGAGCACAGCTGAATGTTTCAAATAATGGAAGATTCCACGGGAAAAGCAGTTTGGAACCATCATAGGGAGCTTTAATTCTGGGCTAATGGATGGATGCTATGGACAACCGGAGGGCAACCAAAGGTTTCTGAACCCATATTAAAACAAAACAAAGCTCTCTACCAAGGACCTCCATGTCCTTGTTTTGGCTCCATCTGGAAACCACCCATCTCCTCAACTTGAAAGACTTCAGCAAACCCCCCCAAATTTTAAAGACTATTTTCATGCACAGTGATTTTCTTTTCTTCTCTACAGTTGATTTCCTCAAAAAACTCAGGCCTGGTTCTTTCCAACCCCCAGCTTTCTTTATTGTGATAAAATACAGATAAATTTTACCATCTTAACTAGTTTTGGAAGGCGGAATAGATAGCAAACCAAGGTAGGGAGGGGAAGGAGACATGTCTCACCCACTAACTCGGTAGTCCTGAGCCTGGTCAAATAAGATTGCCAAGTGTTTTGAAAATCACAAGAGAAACCATGACAGTGCAGGAGAAGTGGAGCCTTTGAAATTCTGTGTGTATCATTTCCACCATCTAAGAAAGCCTTTGGGACTGTATGTTTATCGCAAGGTCCAGAGAAGGGAAGAGGATGGGAACCTAGAAGCTGGCTACAAGCATAAAACCTGTAAAACTCCAAGAGTTGGGGAACTCAAACTAGCTAAGTGCCCACTTGCAGCTTCATGCTCAAATGCATTTTATAAATACACTTGCTATCTTATTTCCACTATACATGTTCTCTCTTGCCTGAATTCATCTCTCAAGTGAGACATAAACTGAAGAGGGGCCCCCCAACTCCTGTCTCTGCAGTAAGTTTGAAGTGTTCAGTTCAGTGGTATTAAATACATTTGTAATGTTGTGTAAATGACAGGGGAACTCAAGAGTTGCAGATTTTAGCTTCATGGGAAGGGGGTATAAGGGAACTAAATGGTAATGGAAAAAACATAATAAAGAGTATATAAAAATATTTTAGCTTCAGTCATAGTTAATAGGCTTAAGTAATTAATGCATGTCTAAAGCTGTTATTCCAGGAACCAGCATGACCTACGGGGACTCCAGGGTGTTGGCACTTTGTGTCCCAGGAGGTCTGCAAGTGATTGAGATGGCATCTGATCCATCGTGTTCCAGGAAGAGACGGCCCATGACATATAAAAAAAATTATTGATTAGCAGATAAAGAAATACTAGGAATATTGCCACTGGACAGCAACTCTTACCTGATTAACCTTTTTCCATACCCCTTACCTACCCCTTCCTTTTCCTTATAAAAAAGTTTGGCTGGAGATGAGATGTGAAGATGGTTTTTGAGGGTACATAACCTGCCATCTTCTCGGATTGCCTGAATTTGAATAAAATGCCCATAGAGATTCAATACTTGTCTCTACTTACTGGTTCTGGTAGTGACAGGCAGCATGAACATAGACTTTTCCAGTTTCATAATCGTGACCATCATCCAGGTCTAGAATTTATAAAACTGAAACTTTATATCCTTTAAACAATAAATCTCCCGGATCCTGGCAAACAACATTCTATTGTCTCTATGAGGTATTGACATGAGAACATCAAAAATTGCAGAGAATTATTATGAGTTTATCTGAGCCAAACGGACTACATATGTCAAGGAGCAAGATTTCAAATGCTCCGGAGAGTAAGAGTTTTGTAGCTTCTTTTATGCATTTGAAATGAAGAAGGGAACAGTAAGGAAGAGTCCGTGAAGGTGGGAGAAAGCAAGGCACGTACTGGATTACAGAGTGGTTAACAGGATTGTGTACTCTCTTGAGGGTAGTTACATCTATTTCAAAACTGAGTTAACCTAGATGTGTTACTGAGCAGAGGTCCAAGGGGGGCAATATTTGGCCCACCCAGGGATGTCAAAAAAAACTGTTACAGAACAGATACACTGGGGCCCGGACTCCAGAGGATGGTATACTAATACCCTCCTGACCCCCTACTAGGCCTGATCGTCCGCTGCCAATTGGAAAGACATCTCTCAATGCCAGAGATTTGTGAAAAGGAAACGAAATGTTTATTTAATGCTATTCAGACCATACGTCTTCATTAAAATATCAGAATCCTCTAGGATATCTACCTACGCACACAGAGCTCCCTTCTCCCCCTGCCCTAACTCTGGGTACCATGAATAAGGAAAAGAGCACATGTCCGTTTTTCCCTGCTGCTGGTACCGTCAGCTGTGTCGCTGTCCAAGCAGGATCGACAGTTAATCCAAAGTCATGTGGCACCTTCTCACGGTCCACTGGCAAGAGTTCTTTGTACCCATTTTTCCAAAGTCTCTCCTGCTTTCAAGGCCACTTGCCAAAGGGAGCACCCCAAAGCCGTGTGGGCCTCTTCTACCAAAGCTGCAGGGGTCCACACTCCACCGGAAGTGCCTGTCTTTCTTCTTCACCTGGCTGCAGGGATCTCCATTCTGGCAAAGCTGCGAGCCTCTTTCTTTTACCTCGCCAAGAGGGGCTCCTAACCCTTCCCAAAACTGCATGACTTTCCCCTCCAATGGCTGCCGTGCTTGCGTTTAAATCCCTGCACAGTCCTCCTTTGCAGCCCCATTTCCAACTCCTCCTACAATCAGTTACACCTGCCAGGACTCCTATACTCTTCTAGCTTTACTGGGCTGCCATAGTGAGTCTGGGCAAGTGTGGCCCCATGGTGTGGAGCCAATCAACTCCAAGCTCTCACACAGGCACTGTAACTCAGGGGACCAGCCCCCAGTTACATCCCGGATAGAAGCCACTCCCTTCTCCCTGGCTCAAAGCATGGCCACAGCTATTTAACATATCTATGAAACCAGTTAAAGGTTATAGATATGTTAAATGACCATTCTAGAGGTTAGCTGTGAAACTGTTGTTATGCAAAACAATTCTCAATGGCCCTGCTCCATTTGTCCCTTCCCCCAATTGACACCTGTGGGGGGGGGGTGAGGACATCTTAACATTTCCTGGAAACCTTGAGTTCTGAACCCCATTACGAATCCCTTTTTGGGGGGCCCCCCTCCTGGCTGCGCCCTGTTACAGATGCACAGGAACAATGACAAAGAGAAAACCTTTTAGTAAAAAGATAGAGCCTAGGGTGAGAGAACCCCCCAGGACCTGCATTAGGAATTTATGATCAGATCACCCTGTGAGTTTACTTTCCATAGAATCCTTCCCCCCCACCCCCATCCAGAGGCTTGGTTCCTTTAAAGTACTAAGAATCAGTCTTAATCTGCCATTTCCCAGGCAAAATATATTTTTCATAGCACTCAATGCCAAGTGGAAAAACTTATTTCAAAATGCATAAAATAGTAAACTATTTTGGCCTCCTTGTAATTTTGATTGTTCTAGATTGATTGATTGATAATAGAATACTGCATCATATACGATGCACGTGACTACTGAGCTTCAGACAGCCCTGCAGTTTGTTTCCCAAGTTCTTAGGAGGGAAGGCAATCCTAAAACAACCAATCTTTGAGCGGCAGGCAGAAGAACGGGAGGGGCTACGAAGGGAAGTATAAGGGTCTCTATAAATTGTACAAGTTTGCTGATTCTCTAAGCACAATCTTTTTTTGGCACTCAATCTCGGAACTTCGGATAGCAATATAAGAGGCTTAGTTACGAGTTAACAGAAACAGGTGGTTTGAGGAGTACTGGGGGAAGAACTTTTAAACCTTGCTTGGAGGTTTCCCTTTTCTGTCCACGGTCGGCAATTCCAGATTTCTGCAGCCTCTGAGAGCTCCCTGCACCCAAGCTAAAGCAGGAAGTGCTGCGACACTGGAGCAACCCTGGGCGTTGCTGTCCAGAGGCGGTGCAACAACGCGGTGCTACGACCAGTGCGCGGCAGCCCGGGAAGTCCCGCCTCGCTGAGCGTACTTGGTCTGGGTCACTGGGCGGTTCTATGGATGGGCGGGACGTGTTTCGGCGGGCAATTGTGACGTCACTAGCCCTTGGTGGGTTGCTACAGCAGACGAGGATGATCAAGCTTTTCGGCTTTCCCCGAAAAGGGCGGAGGGGTGGCTTCAGAGCTGCAAGAGACACAGGAGAGCTGGAGCATCGGGGTTCGAACGCTGCCCTCACGGCGCCGGTAAAACGGAAGTCCTGCTCCGGGTGGAAGCGGTGGCTCTGAGGCTGCCCCCTGGGCAGCAAAGGGAGCATCCTCTCCTGGTAAGAGGGAGAAGGGAAGCTTGGCGCGTATCTCCCGCGGTGCCAAAGAGGAGTCCACCAGCTGCGCTGCAGAAACTTAATACTTCGGAGCAGCGAGAACGTTCATTTATTTTCTTACTAGACGTTGGTCTTAAACATGGACAAACACACCGCCTTCAGAATAGTATTTACCTGGTCCGCGAGGGCGCCTTTTGCTTCAAGACGTGTTTGATGCTTCCAGTATTGAATTCTGATAGCTGCTTGGCATAATATCTAAACATAAAGCTGTTAATTTCCTTTCTCCTTGGTTGGGCCAAAAATACTACTTTTGTCTTTTGGGTGTTGATGTTGAAATATGCCTTTTTAGCATATTGAAATGGCTGTACCTAAAGACGCCATCCCTTCCTTGTCGGAATGCCAGTGCGGGATCTGCATGGAAATCCTGATTGAACCCGTAACACTGCCTTGTAATCACACGGTCTGTAATGCATGCTTCCAACTGACTGTGGAAAAGGCGAATTTATGCTGTCCTTTCTGTCGCCGCCGGGTCTCTTCGTGGGCCCGGTACCATGCCCGAAGAAATTCTCTCATCAATAAGGAACTGTGGGAGATCATTAAAAAGCACTATCCAAAGGAATGCAAGATTAGAGCCTCTGGGCAAGGATCGGAAGAAATCGGTGAGTTAAACCCAGCATGTTTGGTGGCCAAAAAACCAAAATCCCTTTAAAAATGAATTACTGCTAATCCTTTTTTTAAAAAGGATAAATTCGAAAGCCGGATTGAAGGGAGGCTGGGTTCTTTGGGCCTCAAAGTCAGTGACAAGATGGCTGTGTTCAATTGGTGTTTGTTGGGTTAACATGAAAAAAAGAGAAAAAAAACTAAAAAAAGAATTGCTCACATTGAGTCTTTAGTCTCATGATTGTATAAATGTTCAGATGATCAGTAGAGGTAGTACAGCAACAACAGAGATAAGGAAAGGACCGGATTCCCGTATTGCTTTTACTTTCAGTTACTTTCTCTAATTTAACTTGCTGATACATCTCCATCTTAGGCATGTTTTGACCCTAAAGTAGCTTTCTGTGACCAGTTCCCTCTGATTAGGCCATTTTTATTTAAAGCCCTCCACAGTGTGGACTCAGTAGCTATTGCGTATGCCCCAAATGGGGCAGTTGACTGTAGTGTCTTGATCACTTATGTGAATCAATAAGCTACGCAAATGTTTTTTGTCTCAATGTGGTGTCTGTGCTCAGGTGTACTTGCCTTTTAGTTGTTGTTGGAATTATTTTTATTGTAGTAAATATATATACAGCAAATTCTGCTGTTTTAATCATATTAGAGAGAGGGAGGGGGTGGGGAGAGAGAAACATTGATTTATTTAAATCCACTTATTTAAGCATTCAGTGGTCATTTCTTGTATGTATCCTTACCAGGGATTGATCCCACGACCTTGGCATAACAGAACAGCACTCTAACCAACTAAGCTACCTGGCCAGGGCTTATTTTAACCATTTTTAAGTGTACAATTCAGTGGCATTAATTACATTCACAAGGCTGTATAATCTTTACCACCAGCTGTTTCCAAAACACTTTTATCATCCCCAATTTTTTAACTATTAAGCAGTGACTCCCCATTCTCTCCCCACCTTTCTAATCTACTTTGTCTCTATGAATTTTCTTATTCTAGATATTTTCTGTAAGTGTGTTCACATACAATATTCGATTTATTATGTTTGGCTCCTTTCATTTGGCATAGTGTTTCCAAGGTTCAAGCACATTGTAGTATATATCAATGCTTTATCTCCCCCCCCCCCCCCCATCCCCAGCTGGTGTGGCTCAGTGCATAGAGTATCAGCCTGTGAACCAACAAAAGGTCACTGTTTTGATTTTCAGTCTGGGCACCTGCCTGGGTTGTGGGGCCAGGTCCCCAGCTGGGGGCATGTGAGAGGCAACCAATTGATGTATCTCTCGCACATCGATGTTTCTCTCTCTTTCTCCCTTCCTTCCCCTCTCTCTGAAAATAAATAAAATTAAAAAAATACTGTATTCCTTTTTAGAGCTGAGTATTTTATGGAAATATATATATAATGCTGTTTTGAATCTTGGTATGCTGTATATTTTATTTTAAAAAATACTTTTAGAGAGAAGAAGGGAGGGGAAAAGAGGGATAGAAACATCAGTTAACTGCCTCTCACATGTGCCTCGACCAGGACCCAACCTGCAACCCAGGCATGTGTCCTGGCTGGGAATTGAACTTGAGATCTTTTGCTTTGCAGGACTAACCCAACCAACTGAGCCACACTGGTCAGGTACATTTTATTGATATATTTTATCTGTCTTTTCATCCACTGATGGATATTTGGGTTTTTTCCACCTTTTGGGCAAGTATTTGAATATATTCTTAGTTCTGAATTGCTGGGTAATATGGTAATTCTATGTTTAGTTTTTTGAGGAACTGCCAAACCTCACATGGCTGCACCATTTTACATTCTCACCAGCGATGTATAATGATTCCACTTTCTTCACTTGTTCTTTTTCTTTTCTTCCCTATAGCCATCCTAGTAAATGTGAGATTGTATCTTAGTGTGTTTTTTTAATTGTGGTAAATTATACATAAATTTACATTTCAACCATTTTTAAGTACAGTTCAGTGGCATTAAGTACATTCACATTGGTGTGTAACCATCACCACCATCTCTCCACAATTTTTCATCTTCCCGACTGAAATTCCATATCCGGTAAACAATAACTATTAACATTTTACTATGCTTGCTGTGCCACATAACTCTCCATCCATCCATTGGTCTTATTTTTTCATTTCTTTTACTTTCCCTTAAATATATAAGTATATATATTATTAGATATTATTATTAAATTATAGTTTTTCTTTTCATGTAAGATTCACATATAATGAGATGCACAAATCTTCATTGAACCTTCAGTGGGTGTTCACATATATAAACCTGTGTAGTTCAAACTTGTAGAATATAGAACCATCACCCCTGAAAATTCCCTTGTGTCCCTTCCTGTTAATTCCTACTCCCATACCCCCAAAAGTCAACCACTGCTTCTCTTTTTTCTTTTACCATAGATAGTTTTGTTTGTTCTAGAATTTCATATTGCAATATAAGTGGAATTCTATGAGTTCCCTTTTCAATTACAGTTTATATTCAATATTATTTTGATTTGTTTCAGGTGTGTAGCATAGTGGTTAGACAATTGTACTTTACAAAGTGTTCTTCCTAATATTTTTGGTACCCACCTGGTACCATATATAGTTATTATACTGTTATTGACTATTATTTCCTATGCCTCCTTTACATCCCCATGACTATTTTGTAACTACTAATCTATACTTTTCAGTCTCTTCACCTTTCCCTCAAATCCCCTTCCCTCTGGCAACCATCAGTTTAGTCTGACCTTTGTATCTATGAGTCTGGTTCTGTTTTGTTTGTTCATTTATACTGTTCTTTAGAGTTCGTATAGAAGTGAAATCAGATGGTATTTGTGTGTCTCTGACTGAGTTACTTCACTTAGCATAATATCCTCCAGGTCCATCAATGCTGTTGCAAATGGTAAGGTTTTATTCTTTTCTATGGCTAAATAACATTCCACTGTATGTAAGTACCAAGCTTTTTTATCCATTCATTTATCCATGGACACTTGGGTTGCTTCCATACCTTTGCTGTTGTATAATGATGCAGTGAACATAGAGGTGCATATATATATTCTTTCAAATTAGAAGTGGATTTGCTTCATCATAAAGCCTCCATTTTTAAATTTTGGGGGAGCCTCCATACTGTTTTCCACAGTGGCTACAGCAGTCTGCAATCCCACTAACAGTGCACAAAGCTTCCCTTTTTTCCACAACCTTGCTAATGCTTGTTTGTGAGTTTGTCAACAGCCATCCTAACAGGTGTGAGGTGATATCTCACTGTGGTTTTAATTTGCATTTCTCTTACAATTAGTAACATTGAGCATCTTTTCATTTGTCTATTGGCCATTTCTCTTGAAGAGTCAAGGGGAGAATCTGTTCCATGCCTTTCTCTTAGCTTCTGGGTGTTGTTGGCAGTCCACGGTGCTCCCTAGTGTGCAGCTGCACAACTCCAGTCTCTGCCTTCAAATTGCATGGCCTTCTTTCAGTGTGTCTCTGTCTTTACATGGCCAGTGCTTCCATCTCCTCTCTGTGTTTCTTTCTTACGAGGACATCAGTGATAGTGAATTAAATCCACCCCACTCCAGTCTGAACTCAATTTAATTACATCTACAACAACCCTGTTTCCAAATAAGGTCACATTCTTAGGTACAGGGGGTTAGGACTTAGTCATGAAGTGTGTATTTTTTTTTTTTTTTTTTTAAGATTCCATTTGTTTTTAGAGGGGAATAGAGGGAGGCAGAGAGGGAGAGAAACACTGATCAGTTGCCTCTTGAGCACGTACAACCAAGGACCTGGCCCTGCAGCCCAGGCATGTGCCTTGACCCGGACTCAAACTAGTGATCTGTCCATTTATGGGATGATGCCCAACTGAACCACAGCAGTGAGGGCCACTGAGCCGGGGCTGTTAGGGCGGCGTGTATTATTTTCTGCAAGGTTCTTTTAGTCAGTATAAAGTTGAAGATTCATCCTTGTGTTATGGGTTTACTGGTTGGTTGGTTGGTAGGTTTCTTTTTTAATCCTCATCAGAAGATATGTTTTTATTGATTTTAGAGAGGGAAGAAGGGAAAGACAGAGAGAGAACAAACATTGATTGATTACATCCTGTACATGCCCCTATCCCCTACCGGGGATCAAACCCACATCCTAGGCATGTGCTCTTACCAGGAATCGAACCTACAACCTTTTGGTGCACAGGATGAAGCTTCAACCAGCTGAGCCACCCAGCTCAGGTATTATTACAGTACCGCAGGGTAGTACTGGTTTATTTATTTCTTAATTTTTAGTATCATTTTACTGTTTGTATTATACTTTGCTGGCTGTTCTGCGGTTGGTGGTGCCTCAGCCATTTCCAGCTGTGAAGGTTCTTGTACAGATTTTTTGTGGCCATATGTGTTCATTTTTTCTTGTGTAAGTATTGAGTGGAATTGCTTGGTAATAGGGTAGGTGTATGTTTGGTTGTATAAGAAACTGCCAGATCCTTTTCCAAAGGCATATTTTTTAACCCCAGCAACAATTTACAGTTGATCCTTGAACAACTGGGGTTAAAACTGCATGGGTCCACTTAACATGCCGGGTTTTTTTTCCAGTAACACCTGTACTGTTTCAGTTGCAGTTGGGAATTGGTGGATGTGGAGGGCTGACTGTATGCATTGCTCTATGCCATTTTATGTAGGGAGAGGAGCATCCTTGGATTTTAGTATCCAAGGATTATCCTGTAACCAGAGAATGGAAGAGTAATTTTATAAACAGCTTAATTCAAGCTCAAGTTAGATACTTTTTTGGGGGCGGTCCAGTATTATTGGACACTGAGTTCTTTAATTGGGTTTTTCCTTCAGAATAAAATAAAAAGTATGGGAATAAATTCCTTTTAATGAATTCTTTTAAAAGATTTAATTAATTAATTAATTAATTTTCAGAGAGAGGGAAAGAGAGGGAGAGAAACCTTAGTGTATGAGGGGAAAAAAATGCAAAACCATATCAGCTGCATCTTGCATGCCCCCAACTCAGTACCTGGCTTTGCAACCCAGGCATGTGCCCTGCCCAGGAATTAAACCAGAGACCTTTTGATTTGCAGGCCAGTGCTCATTCTACTGAGCCACATCAGCCAGTGCTCTTTGAATGACTTCTTCCTGCCTAGGAAGAACAATCATTATAAGAAAGCCATAGTAAGTACTGTAGAAACATTTAATTTAAGAGGAAGTTAAGGGGAAAAAGGGGGAGGGATTTGGAGGAAGGGGAAAGAAGGGAGTGGAAAAAATGAAAAAAACTGTACTTGAAAAATAACTAAATAAAATTAAAATAAAATAAAATAAAATAAAATAAAATAAAATAAAATAAAATAAAATAAAATAAAATAAAAAGAGGGTTACAATAGAAGTTTTAGAGTTACCCAAAACTGAGCAGTGTTGAGACTTGTTTTTGGTGGATCCCAAAAGTTGACCATCACACTGGCATTTAGTGTATAAAACTGATGTTTTCACATTCCTCATACACTTAGAAATTTTAACCCCTGTGTAAAACTGTATGGAATTTCCTCAAAAAACTAAAAATGGAACTGCCTTTTGACCCAGCAATTCCACTGCTGGAATTAATACCCTAAGAATACTGAAACATCAATTCAGAAGAACCTATGCACCCCGATGTTCATAGCAGGGTTATTAATAATAGCCAAGTGCTAGAAACAGCCTAAACGCCCACCAATAAGCGACTGGATCAAAAAAACCTGTGGTACATTTACATAGTGGAATACTACACAACAGAAAGAAGGAACTCCTGCTATTTGCGGCAGCATGGATGGAACTGGAGAGCATTATGCTAAGTGCAATAAGTCAGGCAGTGAGGGACAAATACCATATGATCTCACCTATAAGTGGAACCTAATCAACAAAACAAACAAGCAAGCAAAATAGAAACCAAGACATGGAAACAAAGAATAAACTGACAGTGACCAGAGGGGAGGGAGTAGGGAACAATGGGGGAAAGAAGGGGAAGAGGCAAGGAACATGTATAAAGGACACATGGACAAAGACAGTGGGGCCTGGGATTGAATGGAAGGTGAGGGAGGGCAGGGTGGGGGAGAGTAATGGGGGAGAAAATGAGGACAACTGTAACTGAACAATTCATAGTAGTAAAAAAAGGAATAGCAAATAATTGCTGCACCTAGAATGAGGCATAGAAAAGACAGTTTTACTTTGTATGTCTCTGGTTGAAAAAGTTACTGATCTTAGCTTAAATTTACCTTTTGCACAAGTAAGTAAACTTTAAAAATCTCAGAAATTCCATATTTAAAAAAAATTACAGTTCCCAGCTCACTATAGAGTAGCTAAGCATCTTCTGTAAATTGCATGTTCCTTTCTTAATTGGTCTGCAGAAAAACTTGTTATATCCTGAACATCTATTTTTTAAAAGATTTTATTTATTTATTTTCTTTCAGAGGGAGGAGAAGAGAGGGAGAGAAACATCAATGTGTGGTTGCCTCATGTGTGCCCCCTACTGGGGACCTGGCCTGCAACCCAGGCATGTGCCCTGACTGGGAATTGAACCAGCAACCCTTTGTTGCCCTGGCTGGCAGTCAGTCTACTGAGCCACAGCAGCCAGGGCTGAACATTAAGTCTCTATTGATTTATGTATTTTGTAAATGACTTCTCCTAGTTTGTTGTTTGTTTTTAACTATGATTTGTCTTCATGTAGAGGTTTTCGGTTAGTTGTGATTATTCTTATGGTTGTACAAGGAGACAAAGCATGTCTACCTACCCTTCCATCTTGTCTGGAACTTACTGATATAGTTTTAATGGAAGACAAAGCTAGCCATAAAATTCTGTGTTGCTTCTTAAAATTATTTCCTTTCTTTCTTAATCTGAAACAGTTAATGATTATCAGCCAGTTCATCTGTTAAGTAAACCCGGGGAATTGAGAAGAGAATATGAAGAGGAGAAAAGCAAGGTAGGAACTAAATAGTTACTGGTTTTTGGAAAAATTCTCTGCTGTGTTTTCAGTTTCACATTTTATATACGGTTATATGTGCTTATAAAAGTAGTATATACTGAAGTATAGACAATTTAAATGTACTTTATAAAGGCTCTGTTTTTTACATATGTTCACAGTAGTTACAAACTAGCTTTACTTTATTTATGCGTAATTGGTGCTCTGATGTGATAGATATCCCTAAGCATTTTTATTTCCCTGAAGCTTTGAGCTTAAAGGACAGAAAAATTGTGGTAGATTATGGGTCTTTTAGTCTATTAAGGATGCTGTAACAAAAATTCCATAGACTGGCAGGCTTGAACAATAAACATTTCTCACGGTTTTAGAGGTTGGGAAGTCCAAGATCCAAAGTGTTGGTAGATCTGGTGACGGGCAGACAGGAATAGGAAGCAGGGGGAGGGAAGACAGGGAGAGAAAGAGAGGGGACAGGGAGAGGGAGAGGAGCGAGACAGTGGGAGGCAGAAGGACAGAGAAAGGTCATCTTTCTTGTTTCTCATCATATCAGGGTCTTAATCCCATTATCCCATTCTTGAGGACTTAATCCAATTACTTCCTAAAGGCCCCAACTCCAAATACCATCTCATTGGAAATAAGGGCTTCAATACGTAAATTTGGGGGGGATACAACAATGAGTTTAGATGAAGAAAGTATAAATTAGAGCTCATTGTGAATGATGGTAGGTAAGGAAAAGAGGAAGTAATGCTTACAGTGAAGCCTTTGAACTTCACTAGTACTAAGAGAGCTCTATTATCCCCTACCCTCTTGGTTAGTATAGTGCACTGTTGTCCAATAGAAAGACAATGTAAGTCTACATTCATTTTATATTTTTCTGGTAGCCACATTTTTAAAGTATTTTTTTCCTAAAGAATGAAATTAATTTATATTTTATTTAACCCATTATATCTAAAATATTTTATCAGTATAAAAGTATTGTATAAAATTATAATTATATGTGAACTATAATCATAATGTGATTAGACGTTAATTATATAAAGTTATAAAATTAATCATAAGATTTTTACATTATTTTTGCTTAGTCTTCAAAATCTTTTGTACTCATAATACACACTGCTTTGGTGTAGTCCCATTTCAGGTGCCTAGTAATGTAGCTATTGGCCACTATACGGACCATGCAAGTCTAGAAGAACCAATACCAAATACATAATTATAATAAACTTGATTGTCAGCATATTGGCTAAGCAGTGTTCTTAAGTAAGGGTTTTAAAGGTATCATTTAATACTTACAGCAGTGAGAACAGGCTCTATTTTAACTGCACATAAAAGTAAACCTAACTCTAACTACCTTAAACAGTAAGAAAATTGTAATTATTTGCAAGTCCAAAGGTAGAGGCTTCAGGGGTGGTTTCATCTATACCTCTAGCTCCAGATCTTTGCTAATTTCTGTCAGCTGACTTTATCTTCAGGCTGATAGCATGATGTCCTCACCATTCCAAACTTGTTTTCTCATGGGACTGCATGAAGGACGTATGCTTGGGTCAAATCCTTTGGAATTCTAAAGTGATTCTTGTTTGGTTGGTTGGTTGGCTGTTGGTTGGTTTTGGTTGGTTGGTTGGTTTTCAGAACTGTAGTTTAAATGACTATAAGTATGATCTTAGATCCTAGAATTAATTAGAGTTTGAGTCTCTACTCTGCCACTTACTGTTTTAAGAAAGTTATTTGCTTTTGTTTGTTTCTTCATTTGTAAATCATGTAATAACCATTGTGATTGTTTCTCCAGCTATCATTCCACTCCTGCCCACTGCGTTTGGGGATTCTTCTAAACTTCAGGGATGGGTTGTATAAGTCTAAGTCAGTTTTATTATTATATTCCCTTTGCTGGGGTTTGGTTCAGGAACCTGGCCTGAGTTAGTCAGCACATGGCATTTTGTTAACTGAAGAAAAGTATTATCTGGAAACAAGTCCACAAATGTGTGACATGTAGTGGAAAGTGTTATTGAGGACTGAGGCAAGGTGGGATGAGATTTTGGTTAAGATTTCATTGGGCTGACTGGGGAAGGCTTCATGAGAGATACCTTGAGTTCTGCAGGAATTTGCCTCTCCAGATGTGTACTTCATTTGAGATATTTTAATTCCTGCTAATTTCTTTATTTTAAAAAAAAATTTACTGTTCTTGTGAAATATTGCAAGTATACTAAGTAGGGTTGTTCTCTGTTAATCATTTTTAAGGTGGAGGCAGAGCGACGAGCCAATGAGGAAGAAGAAAACAAAGCCAGTGAAGAATATATACAGAAATTATTGGCAGAGGAGGAAGAAGAAGAAAAAAGACAAGCAGAACAAAAGAGAAGAGAGATGGAAGAACAGCTAAAAAGTGATGAAGAACTGGCAAGACAGCTAAGCATTAATATTGTAAGTTTTAGGAGAGAACTTTGAAGTATCAATATTCCTATTGTTTTAACTATGTAATTTTCAAAGGTTCAAAGAAGTGTTACCCATAACTACTTCTGATATATTTGCTCTGCTTAAAACTTGTGCATATTTTTTCAATTTTTGCATATTGTTACATATTTGCTCTAATCCAAGTATACTTTTTAAAACTTTTTAAATGTTATTAGTATATTGAAATTATGTAGAAAAGCTATTCGGTGAAAAAGTAAAGCTTCCTTTCCTGACTCCCATTCTGTTTCATTACATTTATCCCTGTTCCCAAAGGTTAGCACTGTTAAGAGTTTCTTTTAACTGTTTTTATTTTTAGTTACCTAAAAAGGACTTATCAGTTACACTATTTTTTCCTTAGCTTTCCTCATTTGCTATACCTTAGAGATTATATTTTGGTATTACTACATGTAGTCTATAAAGAGTAGCATAATATTCCATTGTATGGATATGTTATTTTCAGAAAGTGAAGCACAGGCTACTCTGTGGAATAGCTATTCTGTCTCACTGCTTTACTAATAAACTCTTTTTCACTTTAAACCAAAAGGGGGAGACGATAGAGAGAGAGACATTAACTTCTTCATATATTAAACCTGGATTTTATTATCTTACTGTAGTTTAATTATATTGCTTAGGGGAAAATGAATGAATGAAAGAATGATAAAACACATGCTTAATGTGACCCAGCAATTTGAAAGTACCTGGTAGAAGCACCCTGGGAATTCTTCGAAAATACAAACTTCTGTACCTGTTCTAAATCTACTGAATGAGAGTCTCTGGGGACAGGACTTAGGGAGTAACATTCCCAGAGGCATCTAGGGAAGTCTGATGTGCATTCAGGCTTGAGAGCCTCTAAAAACAATTACTCTGCTTTAAATTAACAGAAAATTAAATTAAATTAAAATGTACTCCCTAAATTAAGTTACTTTTGCAAAAGTAACTTTTATTCCAGGTATAACTACAGCTCTTTGAATTTACCCTTATACATCGAGATAGTTATAAGAAACTTTTCATTAGAAAAATTAACAGAAATTATCAGCTAATCATGTTAGTATCATCATGCCTTTCGTGCTCTATAATATAGAGTAAAAAATGCAATTAATGTAGACCAACTTGAATGGATTTACTCTTGTTCTGATTTTTACATGGTCAGTGTTATTCAAAAAGTATGTAGAACTTAAATGTAAGCATAATTTCTGAAAAATACTGTCATGCATTCTGAGTTCATTAGTTGAATTAATAGCTTATTTTATTATAAAATTGTTTGTAACATGTCCGTTATGCTTTTTCTTGTTAAAGAACCATTTCTGTGAGGGAAAAGTCTTGGCTTCTCCCATGAATTCTAGAAAATCGGATCCAGTCACAAGCAAGTTGCAAAAGAAAAATAAAAACAAACAAACAAATACTGGAGATATTCAGAAGTAAGTGAACATTACTGTTGATTGATTATCTATTGACCATCTACTGTATGCCATTGTGTTGTTGTTCCTATAGTCCACTGACTATCAAACTTTAGTTCGTGCACTCTGCATGAAAGCCTCTAGATGGTCTGAGACTGATGTAAAGTAAAACTAAGAGGGCTGCTCGTGGCTTAGATTCCTGGCTAGCATGAAGAGAGATGTGAAGGGGTTTTTTGTTTGCTTTTTGTTTTTTAATCTTCATTGCTCAGGGTTTCCACAATGTTCACATTTTCTCAAAATTAACTGGTTGGATTCCCCACCCCCTTGGTTTAGTTCGATTCAAGTGAGAAAAGCTGGCCCCATATAAGGTCATCCTCGTTGAAGGAGTTTATAATTTGGCATCTGGGTCATTCACTCACCCTCTTTTTCCCAGTTTATGCATTACATTTCTTCTCTACTATACAAAAAGCATGAGTCGGGTAGTCACAGTGGAGTGATGATTTAGCTCTTTACATTGCCCCTCCAGCAGCAGGTGGAACTGATGACTTTATGGGGATATAAGCTTTCCCATTGTGATTTATAGTTGGGAAAGTTGGAGAACCACAGTCAAGACTTCAAAAACATATAAGGGCTTTTGGTTCAACTGAGTAAATATGTGCAGTTTGCCTTCTTCCAGAATTCATAGAAATTTTGGATTTGTGGTAGTGGAGATTTGAGATAGGGGCACTTAGATTTAGGTGGGGGCAGAGTTAAATGAAAGGGTTGCTATTAAAATACAAAACAGATACGACAATATCAGTATTTTTAATATTATGCAAAGTAGAAATCAAGAGAAAAGCCATTAAAAGGAGGAAAGCAGAGAGATTGAGTAATTATGTTGGGTTGGCCAAAAAGTCTTTTAGTTTATTCCGTAAAATAAAAGGAACATTTTTCATTTTGACCCATGACTATTGATTTGGATATTTTGAGTATATCAGCTATCTCCCACTATTGGCTTCTAGTGGGTAGAGGCCAAGGGGTCTGCTAAACATCTTCCAATGCATAAGGCAGCCCCAGAGCAAGATTTATTTGGTCAAAATGTCAGTAGTACCAGGAAACTCTGCAAATCACTTTTGACACATTAGATCAGTCACAGCACCGTCTGCGTACACTATTGTGTTTTAATTGTTTTTACCTTTCTTGAAAAAATAAAACATAATATGCTGAAAATATTGCAGATCTTCTTCTATCTTTAATATTAAAATGACCACAAAAATTCACCAATTTTGATAAGTGTTTAAAGAACTTTTAAAAAAAATTTTATTTATATATTTTTAGAGAAAAGGGAAGGAAGGGAGAAGGAGGGAGAGAAACATTAATATGTGAAAGATACATCCATTGGTTGCCTCTTGCATGTCCCCAACTGGGGACCTTGCCTGCAGCCCAGGCATGTGCCCTGACTAGGAATCCAACCAGCAACCTTTTGGTTCACAGACTGGCACTCAGCCCACTGAGCCATACCACCCAGGGCAGGATAAGGTTTTTTTAATGCATGCTTGATAGGACAACTGTCACAGTACAATTTAACAATTGTTTTAAATGAAGTTAAAGACAACTAAGGACTACTAGAGCCATCATACTGAAAAAACTAAACAAACTTTTTTGTCCAACTCAATATACTACTCTGCTTAAAGCATATAACTTATGAGTCTTCATGCACTTAAATATATATATTTTGGAATATACAAAAAGAAAAAATTATTTGAAATACAGTGGACCTAATAAAATAACAAATTTTATAAACTGGTGAATTTAAAAGCAGAAATTGGGAAACTAATGGATTAAAGTTTAAACAGAGTTAGGAGATAAGATCTAGTCTCTAGACTATATGAAGAATTCTTATATAACTCAACAACAAGATAAAAAATGGACAAAGAACTTGAATAGACATTTCTCCAAAGATGTACAAATGGCCAATGAGTATATAAATAGATGCTCAACCTCATTAGTCATTAGGGAAATGTAAAAAACCACAGTGAGATACCACTTCACACCCACTAGGATGTCTATCATCATAAAAAAGGGCGGGGGGATAACAAATGTTGGCAAAGATGTAGAAAAATTGGACTCTTGTTCATTACTGGTGTGAATGGTGCGATCACTGAGAAAAACAGTTTGACAGCTCATTAGAAAGTTTAGTATAATTACTGTATCACTCACTATTCCATTCCTAGATATTTACCCAAAAGAACTGGAAATGGATATTTTAACAAATACTTGTACACAAATAGCACTTCAAATAGCCAAAAGTGGAAACGGCCCAAATATTAATTGAAGGATGAATGGGTAAACAAAATGCATATCCTCAAAATGGAATATTATTCAGCTCTGAAATGGAATGACAAGCTGATACATGCTATCTTGTGGATGAACTTCAGAAACACACTAAGTGAAAAGCCAGACACACAGAGTTCCAGATATTTTTTTTTTTAAGATTTTATTTATTTATCTTTAGAGGGGAAGGGAAGGAGAGAGGAAGAGAAATATCAACGTATGGTTGCCTCTCGTGCGTCCCTGCTGGGAACTGGCCTGCAACCCAGGCATGTGTCCTGACTGGGAATCGAACCGTGACCTTTTGGTTTGCAGGCCCATGCTCAATCCACTGTGCTATACCAGCCAGGGCCCATATTTCTTTTATGTGAAATAGCTAGCATAGATCAATCTGTAGAGACAGAAAGCAGATTAGTGGTTGCCAGTAGCTTAGGAGATGTGGGAATGGGAAGTAGCTGCTTAATATATACAGGGTCTCTCCTTTGGGGATGATGAAAAGGTTCAGAGCTCAATAGATAATTTCGATGGTTGTACAGCTTAAAGAATGTACTAAATGCCACTGAATGCACTTTATTTTTTTAAATTTAAAATTTTTTTCTTTATTTATTTTAGAGAGGGAAACAGGAGGAAAGAAACTTAAATGTGTGGTTGCCTCTAGCATGTCTCTTATTGGGGACCTGGCCCACAACCCAGGCATGCGCCCTGACTGGGAATCAAATTGGCGACCCCTTGGTTTGCGGCCGGCGCTCAGTCCACTGAGCCGTACCAACTAGGGCTGAATGCACTTTAAAATGGTAATTGTGTGTTACGAATTTTACATCAGACTTGAAATGATTAACAAAAATATTACTAAAGTGTTTGAAAATTAAGAAAAATACTAAGTAATTCATTGGTTACTCAATACTAAGTATTAAAAGTGGAAACAGCTGGAGCGTCACTACAGGGTGACGCTCCGACCAACTGAATCACACCAGCTGGGGCTAAAGAGTCTTTTAAAAATTTTATATTTATACTGAAAAACCCAGTTTACCTGTTTCTCCCCCACATCCCCAATCCCCTCCCCTACTTCTGACAGCTGCCAGTCTGTTCTCTATATCTGTGACTGTGAGCTGGGTTTCTTCCCCCTGCTACATATGAGAGAGATCATACAGTGTCTTGTTTCTCTTTCTCTCTGTAACTTACTTCACTTGGTGTAATACCCTCAAAGTCCATCCATGTTATTGCAAATGGCGAGATTTCTTTTTTTTTAAAATGGCTTCAAATTTATAGTGAGTAAACATGTGGTATTTGCACAGGAGTAGAAAAACAAAATAATTGAGGCAACATAATAGAAGCTTAGAAACACACTATAGTTTGTGGAGCCTTTAGGATAGCTTTGATGTTTTTAAAATATGTCCATAAATTTTTTGATATTCCTCCCTTGAATGTGGCTAGACTTAAGTATACAAATGGAATTATAAGAAGGGACAATGTACACTTCAGAGACTAAGTTCTAAAAGGCACTGTGAGTTTGTTTTTTTTTTTTAAGATTTTATTTGTTTATCTTTAGAGGGGAAGGGAAGGAGAGAGGGAGAGAAACATCAATGTATGGTTGCCTTCGTGCGTCCCCTGCTGGGAACTGGCCAGCAGGGAACTGGCCTGCAACCCCAGCATGTGCCCTGACTGGGAATCGAACCGCGATCGTGTGGTTCACAGGTCTGAGCTCAATCCACTGAGCTACACCACCCAGGGCTGTGAGTTTTTTATGGAGATTAAAATTACAGTAAGGTAGTTTTTCATTATTTACAAATACTGAATACTGTTGCACACCTGAAACAAATTATAATGTTGTATGTCAATGATACTTCAATAAAAATAGCCATAACATTATAGTAAACTAGTAACATTTCATACTCTATTGGAAAAATTAAACTTTCTAGCAATATTAAGTGTTTTAGAAGATAAGAAATAATTACATGCTTGGGGGGAGTGTAAAAGGTTAATATTCTGTAATTCTGGAGTACAGACACTCAAAAAAACCCAAGAGACGAGTACTGGCATGTTCCCAGTAGTACTGTTCATAGCAGTAAAGAGCCAGAACTGTATTCCAACAGCAGAACAGAATACTGTCCAGCAGTGAAAATGAATTCTAGCTAAAGAAAACATGCATAATTAAACAAAGTGGATTCAAATTTATAGTGAGTAAACAGTTTGTGGAAGAATACATGTAGTATTATTTCATATACATTATAGTAAAGAAAACATACATGTAGCATAATTCCATGTGCATTATAGTGAAGAAAACAATTCATGGGAAGATAACATGGAGTATGACTCCATATACGTAAGATTCAAAATCATGCAGTACTAAGCAATAAGGTGTTTGCAGTTAGAAATGTGTGTGGTAAAAATGTTTTTAAAAGCAAGAGATAAATAGCTCAGGATAGTCATCTCAAACATGGGGGGTGGCAAATATGAGGCCCCATCGGGATTTTAAAGTCGGTGGGGTTTTTTCATATTAAACCAGGTGGCAAGTATAAGGATTTTTATGATGATGTAAATTTAAAACTTTTTTTAATAGTATTGAATGCATCTATTAAAGTTCACTAATCTTGAGTGTGCTTTCTGGTAGGTTTTTACATTTGCATAAACCATCCTCCAGATATAAGATATAGAATATTTCCAGAACGTTCACTCATGCTCTTTCCCAGTCAATAGTCCCTGCCTATAAC